TTTAATTAAAATAAATTTTATCAATATTTTTTTTAAATATAAGTACTTTTGTAGTATATTTGTTTTATTTTATATATGTAAGTACTTTTTTTATTCAGCACATGTTTAGGGACTTAATCGTTCAAAATATGAAAGTCCATTGACTTTTTTCAGGTTTTTTCCATTATTTTACTATATTAATCAGTTTTATAAGTCTTAAGAATGTATCTAACATGTTTTAAAAAATTCAATGAGTTATTTAACAGGTTTTGGAATGTCCAAAGACTTATTTGTTCCAAAAAATTGTCCAAGTACTTGATCATTTCAAACACTAAAATTCATTGGTTTTTTTAGACTTTTCCCCTTTTTTTAACCGTCAATGTTTGTTTGTACTTCCGATAACCTATATATAAAACTAGTAACATATCTATGCATGATGCTATGTAAATCATTTCGTTTATAAAGCCAACAATCTGAATCGATAATACTGTTTCAAATTTTGTTTTATTTTACGTCTATTTCGGTGCTAATTTTAGAGTTTGTTGTGGTTTTAAATCATAAATCAAATTATTTATAAATTCAAAGTTAAAATGTTCAATTGGTCAATTATTTATGAAAATCAAGTCGAATTATTCTAACGAAAAGCAATATTGAATATTAACCTGAAAAAATGTATCTTCGTATTAAAAAATGATTTACCATATAGATCGATTGATAAAACATGTTCTTCAATAAAAACCTTTAATAATTGAATCTAAGAACGATAATAAATAGAAACCAATGCTCTAAAAGACTCAACACAACAACTGTCATGGCACGCTGTGACTTAAAGTTTGTTATTTGTTACTATTGATTAAAAACATATATTAACTATTCATAAAATATTAACTATTACTAATATTTACCAAATATTAAATTCTGTTATTAACTAATTCTAATTGTACATTAATATTAATTGTTTACAATTATTATTAATCATATAAATTTTTACCTCAAAATGTGGATAACATTTCACAATTTACTCTTTCCTTTGTCTTCTGGTTGTGCCCGACATGTAACGCACATTTTTAAAACATAAAATGAGGGTTAGACCTTGAAGTCTAGTGAGAAATCCATTTGATGCAATCATAGGGTGAATAATCACCAAATTACATTTATGAATTAATATTTGTAATAATAATAAATATACATCATTTTGATATAATGAACCTCATTTATTGCATCCAAATAATAAAATTACTTAATAAACACATTATGAGTAAACTTGTCGCATTGTATAGATGAATATATAATTTTCTCGCATCACATGGGTGAGACAAACTCATCTCCTTGCAACACATTGGAGCGAGAACCTCAACTCATCGCATCACACTGGTGCGATAAACCCAACTCATCGCACCATACAAGTGCGATAAGTCAATCTTGTCGTATATCAAGAATGCGGTAAAATAACTCCTCACATCACATAGGTGCAATAACCACACTTCATCACATCATTTGGATGTGATAACTTTAAGTTATTGCATCACACATATGCGACAACTCCAAGTCATTGCATCATAAGGATGCGATAACAAAGAATGTTCGATCAAAATCCAGATTTCATAACTCATGATTTTGTCATCCTTATCCTGGTATACACCTTTCCTTGATATGTCACTCTTATCTCAATATACACCTCTCGTTGATATGTGTGTTATAACCAGGGTTTATCGGTTACAAGTTTAGGGTTGTTCTTTTATCAAAGGCAGGAACTTTAAGGGTTTAATTTGTTTATGTGCTTAAGTTATTTTAAAAATCTTCCACCGCCTCTTATAGGTTATGTTTGTTATATGAGATGTTGTTTTATCTCGTGGGGTTTTGAGAAAAAGTTGATAAAAAGCTTACATGTGTTATTTTGGAACCGAAGCAAAACATAACTAAAAAAAGGAAGAAATATAAGCTGATTTATGTGATTCTTACCTTAATCTTTGTTGTTGTTATTTGTTTATCTGTGAATCAAGGTGAGTTTAATTGTATAAACTTTCCTTGTTTGAAAACTGGATATATAACTGTATGTTTCTTTATATGAGATTATGTAATAAAACTGTTTTGATGCCATAATTGGTATAATTGGTGGGTTTTTTTATTATGATTGTATCACTGTGGAAATAAGGGTAGCATATCAAGGAGATATGTATTTTTGGTTATGAGGGTGTATATTGGATAAGAGTGGCACATCAAGGAGAAATGTACACCAGGATAAGGGAGGTAAAATCAAGAGTTATAAAATCTGAGTTTTTGATCAACCTTCATAATTATCGCATCCTTATGATGCGATAACTTAGAGTATCACATCTGTATGACGAGATAATTTAAAGTTGTTGCATCCTATTGATGTGATGAAGTGTGGTTATCGCATCGGTGTGATGCAAGGAGTGGTTTTTGTCGCATCCTTGTGATGCGACAAGTTGATTTATCTCATCCATATAATGCGATAAGTTGGTTTATCATACAATACTAGTTGTGTATCCGCTCAATGCGGCGGGAGCCATGAATTTTAACGATTTTGAAGTTCCACTAGTTTTATAAGATAAGATTTAACGATGATATAAGTTATACTTGGTCTTTACATATTAATACAATTTGAATAAATAAGAGTTATGGTTCCAATTACAGACTATCGATGAAAAAAATTGTATGACAGTTTAAAATCCAACATATTTAAACGACTCCACAAATGTGTTCGATTTACACCAAGAGCAAAGAACCAAGAAACTTGAGTTTTAAGATAAACACTCAAAACCAATAAAGAAAACTACAAATTTGACAGATCATAAGCCATGAAAAGACCAAAAAAGATGGGTTTTAAAATGAAATTTCAACTGCTTACCCTCTTTCTTGTCCAGAAACTCAGATTAAGGTTGAATTAATACATGTATATATATATATATATATATATATATTTCAAAAAAAACCTAAGAACATATTAATTCAAAACATATTATACAGTGCAATTTGAACAACTTAACCCCAAAATATATAGTATATATATAAATAAATAAGTATAAAAGTATAAATCATAAATATTAAAAATATTTTTCACAGTATATATAATATATAATAATATAATTAAATAAAAAACTATTCAATATTGGACTTATTTCGAAGGTATTAACGAGACGATTATAATAGTGTAACTTGTTAAAATAAAAATGTATTTTTTAAACATGTTTTTAATTGATATACGACTATGTATGTTATTTTGATAAAGATTTAAAATGAAACATCTAAAATAAAAGACGTAAAGTAAATTAATTAAATAGTTATATGGGTATAAAGTGTAAATTTAAAATTATAATTTTAAAAAAATCGGTTGTGAGAGGGTGAATGTATGTGAGGAGGTGAGTGTATGTGAGAGAGGAGAGGGTGAAAAAGTGAGTAAGGGTAGTATAAAGGGTATCTTGGTCATTTATTATTTTAAGATTTTAAGATTTTTGCTAAATTTGCTTAATAAGATAGTATAGATGATGTGATGAGTTGATATTCTCGCACCATTGTTTTGTGAGGACATGGTTTGTCTCATCCATGTGATGCGAGAAATTTTATAGAATTTTCTATATGATGCGACAAGTTTTACCCATTATGTGTTTATCAATGTATTGGGTATTTGACTGCAATAAATGAGGTTTGTTATATCAAAATATGTATATTTGTTTTCATAACAAACATAAGTTTATAAATGTGATTTGATGATTATTCACCCTGTAATTGTAAAAAAAAGGATTTCTCACTAGACCTCAAGGTCTAACCCTCATTTTGTGTTTCATAAATATGCATTACAGGTCGGGTTCAACCAGAGGTCAAGGGGAAAGGGGAAATTATGAAGTATAATATTATGCTTGCGTGGGTTATGAGAATAGCATGTTACTCTTTTATAGCTGAATACTTGTTATATATTCATATGTTGTATATATATTTAGTGGAAAAATTTGTTAGCTATTTTGTAATACAACTTTTGATGAAAAAATCCGGGACCGAATGTGTAAATTATATTTCTTGATGTATGGAAATATATGTTTACATGCAAATGTGATATTGGGATGTTATAATCTGTCACCCTTATAACCAAAATACACATCTCCTTGATATGTCACACTTATTCCAACAACGATATAAACATAACAAAAACCAACAATTATGCTAATTATAGCATCCCAAAACAGTTTTAGAAACATCTTCTCATATAAAGAATCATACGGTTCAAACTTCCAAATTACCAAAATAAGGAAAGTTGTAAATAACTCACCTTAATCACGATTAAATGAGGTTATGAAAATGAATAACAACTAATCCAAATAATTTCACATAATCATTTTGTCTTCAAATCTCCCTTGGCTTCTATTTTCTTTGCACGAAAAGCATACACTTAGGGAAAAAAAATTCACCATTCTTTTTAATCTTATATCAACCCAATGAGGTAAACAAAGTTATCTCATATTGTCATGTAATAAAATAAGGACACGATGGGTTAATTTTAAATGATTTTAAGCATAATGATAAATCTAATTCCTCAACTTACCATCACTTCTCAAAAATAACCCCGAGTTTTATGATCGAAAAACCCTGTTATCACAAATTCATGACATTAATAGTATTATTAAATTAAAAAATATTCAATATTAGGCTCAATTTTGAATATATTGACGAGACGGTTATAATGATATAATTTGTAAAAAGAGAAACACATTTTTAAATGTATTTTAGTTCATATACGATTATTAACGTTAATATGATGGTGTAAAATAAAGAAATAAGGGTTATAAAGTAAATCAAAACATTAATTATAAAATTATAAAATGTAATTTTGAATTAAAAATATTTGATGGAAGATAGGCTATAAACTTTAAGAACTTGAACAATATCCAATCGTGATGTGAAGAGGGCGATAATGTAGGGTTCTAAATGGAAATAAGGTAAAGTACAGGGATGATAGAGGAACATTATTTATTTATCAAGATCTCAGCATCGGATCAATTTTTCTCTGCAACTTTCCTTGCCCTAGAAGGCTAGAAATCAGCTAACAGGAATGGCTTCCTTGCTCAAACGTAGCGCCTTTTCTATCCTTCGTGCTCATCATCCTCAGGTTTCTATCTCTCTCTCTCTCTCTCTCTATATATATATATATATGTATTTATGTCCCGCTAATGAATTTCTCAATTGGTTCGATGCGTGCGTTTGTCGATTGATGCGTGTTTGCAATTTAATTTTTTGATTTTGATTTAGGCGGTGGAGGGTTTAGTGTTGCAATCTAGACGTCAACTTCATGTCGAACCTGGGGCTCGCGAGAAAGCTGTAAGCGACTATTTGATTTCCATCTGGTGTTGATTTGTATCGATCAGTCCTGGCGGAGATTACTTATATATACGTATAGCCGTATAGGGGGAGAGCAGGAAGATTGTTCATTTTGATGAACTAATGTTCAGGAATATATACGTATAGCTAAAGATGAAATTTTGATTAATATCTACATTCAATTTCTCTTGCCATCCTGCAAGAATAAGGAGCACTAATTTTGTTCATGATTTCTCATATATCTCCATCAGTTGCCTACTTTGCATCCTTGAAAGTCCCGTTCTGGCCTTCAATTTTGTCTCTTCATTTCGAAGAGAAGTGATTGAACAGTTAGTTTTGGTTATGTTATGCAATTTTTGGGCATAATATGTAATTATGTGACACTTTCTTGCTGAAATATTACATATATTGCTTTAAAATGTTACCCTTGTGAGACTTGGCTTGATGATCTTATGTGCTACATCTCCCCTTCTATTCTGAAAAGCGTGTAATTTGTGCCAGTGTTGTTTTTTGTTTAGGTTGAGACCATCAGGGTTTCACTAAATTTTGTTCCTTAGTTTTACTTTGGAGGGGAGGGTTCTGGGGAAGTTGCTCAAAATAATTCCTAATTTCTTTTCCTGAGAGTTTTTTAAAGGAAAGGAGGGGGGATTTGAAATGATTATTTGGTCCCGGTTTCCTTGATATGTATTTGTCCTACCAACAAGGTAGTTAAGGTGCTAGGGGCTCCCCATGGTTCAAGTCTAAGATATTGTTGCAGACTTGTAGCGGGTGCAGTCCTTCAGGAAGGAAAATTGAAAATAACAATAAAAGCCACATTGTAGAGTTTGAAATATGGCTAGTAATAACCAAGCTAACAACAAAAATAGAGTTAACAATTATCTTGTTCGTATAAACTTTAGAACTACGATTATAATTGTACAGGCTTTGATGGCCAAAATATCAAGTTCTATACTTCTATTAGATAGTTTATTCATCAACAAGTTAAAGTTGGTGCAACAGTTCGAAGTTTATAGGGTATCATGAGTCCTTAATAAGCCCTACATGCCTGGTGCATGTTCATGATAAGGGCCATGTCATGAGTGGCATCACAAGTCCATATATAGCTGAAATTCACTTTCTTTTCAGATTATTCGACACTTCATATAGCAACCATGACTATAAGGACTTCTTTCCATTCTTTTAGCAATCACAATCTATTTTTAATTTCAGTTTGTTAGTTCTATTCTTCCTTCACATTTGTGTATGGTATCTACAGTGACAACTTTTAAGATTATTCAGCAAGGTTTAATATGTGTATTTTCAACATTGGCAATCAAGATTAGTATGTGTACCGAACATGACATTTGTGTTTAGCCTTTATTCATTCATATAATTTTCTTCCAAGTGATATGCATTTTTTTTGGAGGCTTTTTTTTTTTTTGGTATTTGGCAAGAACTCTGTTTGCGTATCAACATTACAGCTTATTATATAAACCACCCCAAAGCAATTGTCGATTCACACAAATTGGTTAGGAAGCTTTATGGTTTCCCACATATTTAATACTAACTTTATGGAATCTTGCTTCTGCTTAGGTGTCAAACTTGTGAAAATATATGTTGCAATTCGGAATAGTTTATTGTTTCAGATCAAAAATGTTTTTCAAGAGACCAAAGGGACTTCGGCCTAGCGGTATCGTAGTCCTTGGCCTCTTAAGAGGTCAAGGGTTCAAACCTCACCAACGGTGAGGAGAGTGTGTGAGTTTATTTGTTGCATTTGCCGTATATAAATATTATATACTTCAAAAAAAAATGTTTTTCAAGAGGTTTACTGAAGCTAGACCACATCAACTTCCCAGAGGGTTATATTTTTCATATTAATTTCTACTATTTTCTGGACTTTGCTAACTGATAACAGCATGCCTCCATTTTGGTTTGATACTAGTTATTAAGGAATACTTGCCAGTCACTAACTGATTGTAGCACTCATGTTCTTTATGCACCCTTTAATGACGTCAAATTTGCTACTCTTTGTTTCAGCTCTACTGCGGTTAGTTTTCAAATGAGTCAGTGATGCATTTAGATTTTGCTTCCACAACTGATACACCATCAATCCAAGAAGATCAAACCTTGTATTTCTCATATTTAAAATTGGCATGGATAGTTTTACCTTTTCGCCTCAAAATATTCTATTATACAACACATTGTTATAGCTAATGCAATAATATTTTTAACTTGCAACCGGAACAATTATTGTTAGTTCATGAAGTTGAAAAGCAATCCTTTTCGCATGCAAAAATCAGTTGTAGACTCTTTCTGGGGAGAGAGTGCTTACCGGGATCGGGTTCTTTTAACTTTGTACTTCATTGTCTTCTCATAAATAACCTCGTTACCTTGCAGCTTTTGGCAAAGGACCCAGCACTAGAGCGCTTCAAATCATATAGGAAAAGTGCCTCACGCATCAGAAGTATAGGAGATTACCTCACTATTGCCGTCGTAGCTGGTATGTCATCCTAAGTTGAAAAGAATGTGATTTATCTTGTATGGGATACTCATCATGTGAGACTCTTATCATCTGCTGCCATATTATCTCACTTCTGAAGCTCATTATAAAGGATTCCAATTGCCTTCCACTTAACTTTGAATCACCCCCCCTTTCTTTCCGGGGCTAGCTTAAAATGTCAATATCTGGAACTTTTGTAGAGGATTGTTACACACCAATTGTTTGCGCTTCACAAGTTAACAGTGCTCTAAAAGACACAGGGGATGTTAAGTGGTGACCAGATAAGAATCACTGCCCCACTTATCGGATAAATTCTTGATCATCAAAATGCTCCCTCTGTCTCAAAATAAGTATCCATGATTAAAAGTAGATGTCTACTTTCTCATTCTACCCTTATGAGATGGAGAGGGTTTCTCTCTCTATTATTAAGGATTGAATTGTCATTTAGTTAATTCAAAAGTATGAAAATCATACATTCTCAAAATGGTGTGCCTTTTTCATTGTGGATGCTTGTATTGGGATGGAGGGAGTAGCACCTAGCAAGTATAAGCTGTCTCTTACCCGGCAAGTGTTAATCATGTAAGAATCACAACCCTCACTTACTCAGTGGGCAAAATTGCAAAGCGAAATTGTTGGTAAAGACCATCATCTCTGACTGGGTAAGCGTCCCTCACCTGGTAAGAGGAAATTAGTGTTCAGTTACCTAGTAAGAGACTGTTAGTGCTTAATAAACAACCTCTAAAATTGATTAATAACCATCCCATATCTCATGGTATGTGCAGAGGGCTTATTGTAATCTGTAATCTGTAATCTGTAATGTTGAGGACTATGTGTGGCTGACTAATAATGTTGAATCCTTTGCAGCATATCTGTTAATTTGTTTTAGACTATTAGCTGAAATGGCACAACATATCTTTAATGTTCCAGGATGTTGCTATGAGATCTATGTGAGAGCTGTTACGCGGGAAGAAGCTCGTAAATCCAAGTAAAGTGGTTGATGCTGATTATTTATGAAAAAAGAGTGTTAATAATTGATCACTAGGCACTGGGTTGGCTTTTCATTTCAAAAAAAATAATCTCTGTGTTTATGCATAAAAATGTCATGGATTTAGAAAACTTATCCATTACTCTGTTTACTGATATCTTGTACTTGTTACTCTTTCCTTCTTATTATTGATAGATGCGTAGTCGTTGATCGACTTTTTGACGCATCGGACTTGAGTATGCCAAAAAAACTAGTAACCATTAACAAGTCAAGCTTCGTAACAATGATTTTGATTTGACTCGTTTGAAAGTTCGATTAAATTTTTCGAGCCTAATTGAGTCATTCAAGCATAGACTTTTTTTGAACTAAACATGTTTATATATATATATATATATATATATATATATATATATATTATATAATTGAAGTCCAAAAATTATTGGGATCGAGCCAAGCTGATTGATCTCGAGTTTGAGGCCGTAAATGGGTATCGACTTCGAGCTCGAACATTGAAAAAATATTCAAGTTCGGGCCCTATTGTGAAAAAGTCGGCTCAAGCAAGGTTAGTTGAGCT